TTTTACCCATTACAGAACACTCCTTCAATCCCCTTTGGTCTCTTTTCACGACGCTTCTCGCTCTTCTCCTCTATGGGCACTCCGGCCGAGAGCACGGCAGCGGAGTGGCGCTTTTGTCATGTATTATAAAGGTGACCTCCCACCTTCGAATGGAGCAAGCACCTCTTTCCCCCAGAATCTCCCTTCGAGTGTCATTCCCCTGTCGCGCGTGAGCTGTCGCCTCCGCCCGCCTTCGAGTCAAGTATAGAACCGCCCGCGAGAGCGCGGGCACGAGCACGAGCAGTAAGTCTAGTCGAACAGTATATTAGCTTAAGTATTAGGTTGTAGGTTTTGGCCCTCGCGGCGTCTCTGTAACTAGAGTTCGCTGCTCGCGCGTTCAAGTTTCTTTTCCCTCGACGACCATATCCCCTCCTTCATCCTACCGCACCGACGTCGACCCGCGTAAGCCGAATCTACCTCTACAACGGGCACGAGGACCTCGTCAGGCTGGGGGTCGGCGTTCTGAGCAAGGTTGACCACCCATTCCGCCGAGCCGAAGGGCGAGCTCTCATATAGATCAATCCAGGGAATGGTGGTCGCCGTGCTCGGGACAAGAGATTTATTCCTAATGACGATTCGAGCTCGATTGAAGGCCGAACCGCAGAATACATACGACTTACCAGGTGACGAGACCTTGTTCCCCAATGGTCCAAACGGATTGTGCGTTGGGCAGAATTGGGGATGGGGCGTAGTCATCTCGTGTCGATAGCCCCGCACTTGTCGGGGAGGCATGAGCAACAGGCGTGAAGATACATGCGATGGCGGCAGAAGTAGCGAATAGCGTGGAGAACGATGCAAACATCTTTGAGAATGTTGGCGTTGAGTTTTCAGACTCAATCTCCTCGGAGATCGAGCTTCTTGTATACCTTCGCGCACCTTCGGTAATAGGAGAATTCTTGCCAAGTCGTTACAAACGCCGATGTTTGCTCGGTTAGCGTATGCGATATTGTCGCAAACGGGCATCTTGCGCCGCTGAACTTTGCGCGGCTTAGTGAGATGCCATCGCGCACTCTACCACGAGGTCACTGGAAAAACATTGACGGTAAGCGGCGAGGAACACCGTTAACGGATTGGCAGTGAGGCCTGCACAACCCTGAGCCAGCCAAGAGGGACGACAGGTCATTCGTAGAGAAACACCTCCGTCGACTCCGCGCGGACCACGTGAGGTACAGAAAACTTCGTCATCGGAGGTTCGCCCATTCTGCCGATAAGTCCCGCTGCGAAGGGCTCAAGGCCGAGGGTGTCGAGTTCGTGTGAAAGAAGATTCAGTAAACTCGTCTTCACATGAGAGTAATATGATTAGTGGCCAGGAGATAGTGTTCCGCAGCTCCGAGCCAAGTGAGTATGATCTGCGAATGCTTCTCGGTAAGCACCCACGCATGAGTGATCGAGAGAGAGCTGAAATGACGGCCAGCGGGCATGCTCAGCCAGCAGACAAACGACCGGTACAAAAGTTGCATTCATGCATACACTAACAGCTGCTCCTACGGCTGAGCGGGCATCTAGTCCGGGAGACATCAGCCCTACCAGTAGTGCCATGGGCACACCTGAAGTGAACACTAGAAACAGTATCGTGTGAGTGCAGGTCTTGTTCGCAGGGATATGTTGAATTTCATAGCGGAGATAGAAACCCATACAGCGGATAATCGATAAGAATAAAAACCAGTAGTTGGAGGAGTTTTCATCGCACCCGGACTGAGGCTCTTCTGAGGGGCGATAATGGATTTAATGCATGCATATGGGCATAGCTCATGTATTTTATGCAATGGAGGAAAGTTAAAGCGACGTGTTCGAACCGCGGAGTATACAGGGGACATGGCATATACGTGCGATGGGACACTTCCCGGGAAACCAGAGATGTGGCACTTATGCCTCCGATGTCGTCTTCTTCGTGCGCTTGACGGCGACGGTGTTCTCCCTGGAGGACCAGACCTGATTATTCACGCTCAATCAGGCCTCAAAACTTGTACATACCGGAAGCCATTCTTGAAGCGGCGAGAGACGTGCTTGAGGTACCGCATGCGACCGGTACCAGTGGTTTTTCGGCGCTTGGCCTTCTGACCCCACTCGTACGACCGCAGCTTAGCACGAGGGTAACCACACTGAGCGCATTCTACAAGGGGGGGGGGGTCCAACGAATTGAGACGTGTTCAGTCAGATCGGTGTCGAGATGTGATCGTCGCAGAAGAATGAAAACCGCAAGGTGAGTGTTTTCTGCTACGATGAACGGGCCCGTAATACACACCCTTGTGCTGCCTGTGGAACGAACGGCTGCTACACCGGCGGCAGATAGTGTGGGACTTAGTGTGCCGCTTACTATAGAGGAGGATGCGCGTTAATAACAGCTGCTACGCATCCGACAAGAGCACGCACCCAAAGGATGTGGTACCTATGTGCCATCAAGGATCCGTCTCGTCAACTCAGTTACAAGTCGTTTGCGCAGAACGCACTGACCTTTCGTCTAGAAGAAGGAAGACAAGTTAGCATCAAGTATACAGCCATTTGTGGCCTGGGCAGCCCAAGGGACGCCTTGGCTTCATCCGACATAGGTTCGGCCCATCCACCTTCAAGGCTCCACCAAACTGTTCCTTTCAGCCTCCCAGCTTGCACTCCTTCGCTATATGTCTCCCAGACAGTCAAAATTCGGGTATACTCACCATAGTGTCTTGAGGATTTCACGGTTGCCGATGCGATTGGTAGTACACACACGTCTAAGGCGGCCTGTTCTGGATGCTGACTAAGCTACCATACTTGGTGGATTGTTGGCGCCCTGTTAAGCACGTTGCCCTTTCGCTCAAACTTGAGCTTTCCACTTGCGGTTTTTATGTTGATGATTATCGACGGCATATGCTCATACCATTGCGTCTCACGACACTCTTGCTCTGTTCTTGCTGAAAGCTAAGCGCCACGATGAACCCGTTTCACTATCCTGTCGCACCTCTCGAGTGCGAACGTCCTCCTTACACGCGGTCCGTACGATTGTCCTAGAAATTGCCTTTTTGATTGTTATACACGTTTTTCGCCACGTATGATTTTTGTCGCCGGTGTGCCACGAGTGGGTTATCTCACCATCCTGAGGCTTCTTTCTTTCCACACAGTGCCCAGGTTCGCGGTGTGTTTCCGGCTGCTGGCGACAGAATGATCAGCTTGATTTACTTCCTCCTCATGGTTCATGGTTAGTCCACATCGTGGCAGGCCTCCAGGCACCACATGCCACATACAACGTGGTGTAGTAGTACTGTCGACCCATCCTTTGCCAATGCCACATGTGTGAGAGACTTTTTGTAGACTTAATCTAGCCACGCTTCCCCCGCTTAGTCGATACTTTGATCAAGACGTACGCTAGCATACCATACCTTTGAATTTCTTCGTACAATTGGCTTCATCAAGCAGGACGAACAATAATCATCTCAGCAGGCGAAAGTGTGTTAAACGCAGGCTTAAAGCAGTGGCTAAATGGGCTTACACTGCATTGCACACAGTTATAGTACACCAGATTGCATCGCATTCTCTGATGAGTAGTTCGCCTGCGTTTCACTCCGTGATAGTGTTTATTGTCGGACGCAGTTCCTGAGCCGCATTATCTTCCAGGTGAATGATCGGAAGATGTCTTTTGACGTGCTGGATAGATTGCTGTTAATGAGGTCGTAGCGGCCTCCGCAACGAGCATGGGCCATCCGAGCCGCAACGGGCGGTGCGCTCTCACAGTACGCAGGAAGACGTTTTGAGCATTCACTCTTCTTTCCCCCCAAAGGTGGGATTATAACGGCATATCAAGGCATGTGTATGCGAACTGGTTATCGTCCTGCAGGAAGATGACAGCTTTCTCAAGATCTCCCCGACATGCGCCGGACATGCTACAGACCGGTATTCGTGCGCACATCGGATTAGTAGTAGTAGGTTTTCAGATAACGTCGAGTCTACTTCATTAAATTCTTGGCGAGACCTGATTTGCGGTGTACCACGCAACCGTGAGTGCCATCCGCAGCTCGATTGGAATCCCATCGCTCTAAGGTCCGGGCTGGTCGTCGTGAGCTGACTTCCGTTGCTTGCTTCCATTCGTATCCTTTATCTTATCGCTTCCAGGTATCAGTTTCAGGATCTCGAGGCTTCAGCAGAGGGCAATCAAATGATTGAGTATCATCGGTGGGAATAACGATCCGGCTACCGTGTCGAAAGTGTTCTGGATTACAGCACTCCTTCGCGCCTACTCAAGGGAACATTCTAGTAAAAAACGACGCGGAGCAGTCTTTTCAAGTTGTGCATTGTAATCATTTAGAATGAGAATGCTCAGATGCTAACCACTAGCCTGAAGGAGCCTGTGGGTACTTGGTCCTAAACAGAGTCTAAGTTTTACAGGTACCGAGCGTGTTATCCGTGACGCGTGATGCGCGAAAGCTCCGGATCGCCTTTGTATATTCCTTGCTCTGAACTGTAATTTGACCGACTGTTGGTTTCCCTTACCGCTGCGCACAATTCATTCCTCCTGTCCTCAATTGTCTTGCAATAAGATGTGTAACTGATGCGTTTATGCATCCCTTGCGCGGCAAGCAAGCTGCCTACACACTCCTGTGGCACCGTAGCGGTCTAATGCACGCAAGCACGCCTTGAACAACGTTGACAATGCGGGCCTAGATAATTCGCCGAGTCGGTCGAGCGCCGTTGGGCGTTTGATTAGACGCCATGATTTCAGAGATTAGATTACAAATTACGCGCGATTATTTAATGCGATAAATAGAAATAACTCGACTGTGATTGGCTAATGTCTCCCAAGCTGATAATCTCCCGTTATCTCAGCTCGAGTCCGCCCCTTCCCCTGCACATTTCTGAACCTCCACCACCACCTACTCGACGCGCGCCACGCCACTGAGTGAGGCCACTCAGAGACGTGTTTTTTAAACCTAATATCTTCCACTTTTTTGTATCTTTTATCTAATCACAACCCTCAATCCTGTCTCGGCTCGAGGAAAGAGAAATAATGCCCGCAGTCATGCTGCAGTCGCCGGTCGTAGACATGCACAATCCTGCACTCGCATCACTCGCAAGACTGCCGTTCAACGGCCAGATCCAGTCGCCACCTGCATCAGAGCACCCTCGTAATGAACCGCCGAATGGTGCACCGCCATCTCCCTCGCTGCTTGCAGCCATGCAACGGGTGCCTTCTGCGCCCGGTTCAGGGCCCTATCCGATCGACCCCGCCCTGAGGGAGAAGAGCACCGAGAGTATTGACCCGACACTGGCGCAAGCTTCCAACAGCAGCCCTACGATCGCACCCGCGAAGCCACCTTGCGCGAACTGTGGGGCCCACTCGACACCGCTCTGGCGTCGTGATGGGGAAGGGAAGGCAGTGTGCAACGCCTGTGGTGAGTGACTTCATGTATGACCTTGGCTCCGGCTTCGTTTCTTGGCTTCGTGAGGCGAACATGGCGGCGATACTATACCTCTCGTACGCCACGTGGATCTCGCACTTGGCCAGCCGAGGCAAATCGTATCGAATCCTCGCGTCGTGTCCCCCTTGTCAGCGTGTACTGCGCGAGGAGAGCTGCCTTAAACAAAGTTTGCATTGGTTTAGATGAGGACATGCGCTGCACGGCCTCCGCTGTGCCGGGCACCTTGCGCCTCACTGGATGGCTGATTGTTGGCGCGTTTCGCTTCTCCATCTTCCTCTTACTCTAACTTTCAATCCCGCGCGTGCCTGCCGCCATCGTTACCATACTTCTGTCGCCGCATCAACTGATACAATACTGACGCATGTCTTCAGGTCTCTACTGGAAACACAAAAATATGCCTCGCCCCTCGACTCTCAGCCGTGGTCAACCAGCTGTTGCTCCTGCAACACATCCTGACGCCAACGGCCAAGCTGCCTCTGACGTAAATCTTAACAACGGTGTTACCAACGGCGGTGTTCACCAGAGATCCCCCGAATCTCCTGCGATGCCACCTCCTGCAGCCCCTTCCTCGGCGGCGTCTCAGCAAGGCCAGCCACCAGCTGGTCCATCGAAGGAGCAAAATAGCTCGTCTGGGCCCGCAAAGTCTCACCCTGCTGGCACTTGCCCTGGCGATGGCCGCTGCGACGGCACAGGTGGTACTTCCGCCTGTTCGGGCTGCCCTACGTACAACAACGCTCTTTCGGCGATGAACAACCCGGCTACTACCGCTCCGGCCTCGAATAGCGAGCAAAACATCTCGCAAGCTCCGGCCGCTGCTCCAGAACAGCCTGGGGGGGCGTCGACGCCCGAGAGCGGCTACCCTGGCAAGGTTCGTATCAAGAATCCGCTCGGTCCTCTCAGCTGCGCAAATTGCGGAACGAGCACGACGCCTCTATGGCGGAGAGATGACGTGGGGAACAACATCTGCAACGCTTGTGGTATGTCTTGGTTTCTCTTCTTCGGTTGCTCCGCTTGTTGTATCGCCGGTGGCCGTTGTCGGTTGTAAGCGGGCGCTTTTTCCCCCATCACGTGGCAGACGCAGCCGCATCAACTCGGGACCCAGAACATGAACCCATCTTATCAGATAGCCCATCCTCTCACCTGCCGCTAAGTGCAGAGGTGCGTTCGCCGTCGTCGTCAGTCGCGTCTTGGGCGATGGGTCTGTCGCTGACACCCTGCACTTGATATGTCGCCGTTATGGGTGTTCTAGCATATCTATCCCGTCATACTTTTGGGCTTGGCCGTGTTTCCTCTGTGTTACCTTATCGTCCTTGTGTGCGCGATTCTGACCCTTCTTCGTTCTTTTTAAGGCTTGTACTTCAAGCTTCACGGCACTCATCGCCCGAACTCGATGAAGAAGACCGTTATCAAGCGTCGCAAGCGCGTTCCTGCTGCGTCAGGTGGATCGCCGAGCGGACAGGACCGAATGACGGATCAGGCCGCGGCTGCGATACTCGCGAGTGTTGGGCGTCCGCATGCCTCACAGGCAGGAACGGAAGAGAGCGCAGAGGAGGCCGAGGGTCAGCCACGTAAGAAGCGGGCAAGGAAGAGCAAGGCTGACAAGGAGAAGGAGGCTATGGAGGTCGACGAGGAGGGTGAGCAGGCGGCCCGTCCTGCGAATGCCAGGGCTCGTAAAGGTACGGGTCGTGGAGCACGGAGGGGGAGCACTAGAATGTCTGACATGCCTTCTCATGGCTGGCCAGAGGGTCCTGCGCAAGGCGAAGCTGGACCGTCCACTGGTCACGGGCAGGACGGTACGTGCTGATATCTCAGGCTTGATCTCTGCTTTCTAATGCAAACTCTAAGCAGTCCGCGGCATGGCCTTCCCTCCCAACCCTCATGGCGGCTTCGACTTGCCACCTCTGAACGCTGCCGTTGGTGATAACGCATATGGCATGAATCCGCCACCTCCATTTGCTCGTCCAGGTTCCGCTGGCTTCCAGGCACATCCTCCAAGCAGGACACATTCGCCGTTGGCGGGTCCTGGCGTTACCCCACCCTCGGCGCCATCATATCAGCTCCCATTGCCGGTTCCCACGCATATGCAGGCGTACCCTCCGCACTATTACGCAGGACCACCGCCCAGCGGGGCCCCCGTGCCAACGTACGTGGACCTCGAGCGCCATTTTGCGGAGCTCGAGCGTGAGAAGCGTGCTCTGGCGGAGCTACTTGAACGCACGGACCGCATGATGTTAGGCCTGCGGCGTGCCATGGACGAGAGCCGGATGCACCCACCCCCGTCGGGGAATGGACACCCACCTGCGTCGGGCCAGCAGCAACAGCAGCAGCACCAACACTCACAGCAACATCACCAACCCCAGCAAGCACACTCTCAGCAGGCCCACCAGCCACAACAGCACCAACCACCCGCTGACGCGGTCCCGCTTAACCGCTCCGCAAGCTCGCAAAGCCGGGAAAGCGTCTGGCCAGTGAACCCGCCCGAAGGTGCCAAGCGCGATTGAGCGGTTTGTCTGTCATATCTATGCTCCATGCCTTCCTTTTACCATCTTCCTGCTTGTTGTTCGTGCCAATAGTAACTATCCTCTATCCCACTATCTTTATCCCACGCCCGGGAACACTTATTTCAGCTGGCAGTGCCTCTCGAACATTATCGAATGGTCTATTGTATTAGCGTATACACTGGTGGCAGCGCGTCGCGTTTGGTCTTTACTATTTCTATGAGCTTTTATGTTTGGTTGCTGCCACGAGCTAGTCTTTTTTCTTCTTGCATGCAGCACTGTAATATTACGGGTTCTAATTTTTTGTCATGAGGGTAGCGTAACATGGGCTTTTCTTTTTATACCGTGTGCTGAGGCCTGAGAGGCCTGAGATTTCATGTCGTTTCTATAAAATGCCGAGATTATCTTGACGAATATCGTGCGAGAGTTTGCACATCTCATCGGCTCTCCTACCCACTTGAGGCTAGACCTGCGCAAGTGCCCTGTTTTTTGCTGGCGTGTGTACACAACAATCGCGTACCGCTGGAGCCTCTGACCGAGGTGAACCTGCAGCTGATTCTTCCTGAAGCACAAGGCAGCGGGAAGGCGACGGTGCATCTAATCTTATCTGAGACACGCGATCGACCGACGTCAGTACCGTGTCTCGAATCTAGGCGCGCAAGATTGTGGTAGTCGCTGTCCTACGAGGCGACGACGACGACGACAACGACGAGTGAGGCTTGCGCGACGTGCACGACACCGACGGCTGCACAAAGAAGAGCTGCGAGAAGGCCGAGAGATCCTCCCGCGAGCCTCGAGGGGCGGGCAACACATGGGTGAGTGCCTGGGGCCCTTGCGACCGTGGGGATACTGGGTTTTCACGTGAAAAAAACCATAATTTGCTTGATGTCCTCATTAGCAGGAGGTCAATCCTCGACTTCGACGTCCACCTCCTTGTCGTCCCTCCCCTTCCGCACGTCGCGCAATCGACAGCGATGGACACCGTGATCGAGCATCCCGCTCTCGAAGACCAGGACGAGTCCGTCCGCATCGCCGTTCGCGCCCTCGGCGACATGCGCAACAGCGTGCACGCCTCCCCCACGACGTGTGAGCCAGGCCTCGCGATATCCCTCGTCGGAGTACTGATCCCGTGTGTGTACGACAGCGTTCCAACCGACCCCCGCGCTGTCCGCGACGTCGCGCTCGACTTCGCCCTCGCTGCCCGAGGAGGAGCAGGCAGACTTTGTGTCGAGGGTGTCGACCTTGCCTCTCGTCAATACGGCGCTGCGAGCATACGAGCAGGGAAAAGCCTCTTCCAGGGTCGTCAAGGTGCGCAGTCTCCGTCATGTGCCTGTGTCTCGTGCTCACCACGTGCATGCTCGCAGTACGGCGCGGAGATGATGGAGTCTTCCGTCAAGACGATCTCGCGGCCTGTCATCGAACGGCTACCTGTGGGCCAGCTCGACGAGTTTGCGTGCAGGCAGCTTGACAGGCTCGATACCTATCGTCGAAAGCAGTCCCCTGAGCGTGGACGTCATCCCGATGCATCTCCCGATCTTGCCAACGGAGGCTGGACGTCCGCGCTCCGCGATATATCGATCGCGCGCGGGCGGCGGCGGGACGCGGAGAGAGAGAATGAACGTGACAGGGACGCGAGCATGACTCGTGGCGATGGTGCGTGGCTTGCTTGATGATCTAGAGTCTCTCCTCACGAATGTCTGTTAGATGCAAAGGTGACGAGCATACACGAGTTGAGCAGTCGGACGCCCACTCCAAGACAAGACGAGCGCGCAAATGCTGAACAGCAGCAGCAAGTCGTACAACGAAGCCGGTGGCAAGCCGTGCTACTTGAAGCTGGCGGTATTGGTGCAGCTGTCAGTGAAGAGAGCATGCGAAGGCTCAAGTACTGTCTGCAATGGCTGCAGGTTTGTCGAAGCACATATTTATCGCGTATATCTGACTTATATTCACGCTAGTACGCCACTGCCCACATTGATGCCCAAATACTAGTCCTACGCGACTTTATCGCGTCTCTGCAGCACTCTACCTCCTCGTCGACAGCCCTGGCTGCTCCGCTAACCGAACACCATCTACAAACACTAACGATCATTCGACGCGACGTCGTGGACACTATCCGACAAGTCGTCGACGTCGTTTCCAAGTATGCCGGCGGGGCTCTGCCGGAACCTGCGCGGACCCGAGTACGGCAGTTTATCTTGTGCTTACCACAACGTTGGGCACACGCTGCACCAGGCCCTCTCAGTGCAACGGCAGCTGCCGCGTCGGCGAATGGATCAGCGAGTATGAATGGGTCGGATGGCAAGAAGGACGTAAGTTCGGGTCGGGGCAGAGGAAGGACTGCTCCGTACACCTACGGCCCGGGGGAGGCTGGACCATCGCCTCGGTCTCGGCCAGCCTCACGAGCAACGTCACCATCGTCATTGCGCACACATCCTCATGGTAGGCAGGGTGCCAACGGTGTAGCTGTTCCTACCGCTGGTGCGGCAGCACAAGCCGCGCAGAAGATTCTAACGCTCGCGACCGAGAGCTTAGATATGCTCAGGGCTGTTACCGGAGTTTTCAAGGAGAGCTTGGACAAGGCCGATGCGTACGTGTGTACATCATGTCTCGTAAGCTTTTCCTGACATACCCGCAGATGGGTTGAGCGCCTGCGCGTTGTCGGTCTCCAGCGGCAGTCATCCAACGCAGTCTCCTCTCCGCCTCCAACACTACCACCTCCGTCTTCTCTCACCCTTCACCAGTTGCAATCTCTGCCTCTGGATACCTATCGTGACCCACTCCCGCCAATCCAGTCGACACCAAACTCGAGTCGTGCGCACTCTCCCGTGCCATCTTTTGCACAGTTACAGCTCCCGCCGCTTGATCCGGCGCTGATTGCTGCCTCAGGCTATGCCGCACGTCAACAACAGCTCAATGGCCGGGGCGTGCTACGGCGCGAGCCGCACAATGTGCGCGGGCCCGAGAAGGAGTTTGATGCACTCACGCTCAGCTCGGGCTCTGCCTCGGCCGCGAGCAGTGTTCCGCCAAGCCGGTTCACGACGCCCCGCATGCAGCCGCTCAGCCTTAGTCCTGATGGCGATGGTGGAGGTGGCAGCTTCTTGCGAGACGACGAAGACGTGCGGCGGCCGATAAGCGCGGAACGGGAAGTGCCCAGCAAGTCCGAGGGTACGGGACGGATGGACATTGACCGATAGCGCGATACCCGGCCCTGTCGTGGTGCTTGAGCCTGAAGCGTGTCACCGCTACAGTGCTGCTGATGGTTTCTTTATTTGATGTCTCCGTTTTCTCTCTCTCTCTCCATTATATCATACACCTTACGCTACACCTCCCTATCTTTCTATTTCCTACTGATTCATGACCTCTTGATCCTCTGCGTGGCCCACTTACTGAATTTTTCGTTGATATCTCAGTGCTAATTTCCTGGACCTTTCTGGTTGAGGGCTTGCTTGTAGCTGTGTTGCTCCGGCTGTTCTTATTTAGGCGGCTTGCTCTTGTACAGAACAATATCTGGTACTTGTGTCCCATATGGCTTCTGGGTCTTCGAATATGGAGATTGTCGAAGACGTTGGACATCGAAAAGTTGACGCCGTGGACTGGCGCCGGCCGATGGTCGTTGGTTGTTCTGAACCTGGTTCAATCCTAACCTTTACTTGCACGAATTGTCGCGCATCAAGTGTCTATCTGCTTGCAAAAAGCCCCTTCTTTGTGTACTCGCAGACGTGGCAGGTCCCATTGCCAAGTTCGCACTCTGTCGCGGTGCTGACGAAAATCCTTTGATCCCTAGGGATTGGCACGCACTCTAAGATCTTCATCCTTCTTGCAATTGTGCCCATCAAACGGCCTGAAGAGCCCACACCTATTACTAAGATTCGGGATGGTCGTCAAGCCCGGTGGTATCGGCGCCTTGGCTGGCCTTGTCATCCGCGTGCGCCTCGATACCGTGCTGGCAGCCGCGTGGCCATATCACTGTATTCTCTGGTCGAGAAGCCGAGGAAGAATGAACTTGCGTTGCGTGCCTAGGATTTAACTTCGCAACAGAGCCGCGCAATAAGCATTATGCTCGCCTCGCCGAGCGTCAACAGAAAATTTGAAGATCCCCGGCGGGTCTCGTCGCCAACTGGGACCCTTTGTCAGCTTCTTGCAGATCTCTTCGGACGATGTCATCTGACTTTCCCTCTCCAGATGGTTCGTGTGCTGGCTCGCCTACGTATGCAGTTAAAGCAAGAGATGTGTGTATGTCACCATTGCGCTGCTGCCAGTGTATTACAAGCTATTGAGTTTGCAGCGTTACTCCTGACCTGCGCAAACGGTGCGCACCGTATTCACTTTAAGGAGCAAAAGAATGTCTCTGTGCCCTGCTGATGCGCTCACGAGCTCACCACACGACCCCATTCTCTCCACTGAGACGTCGGACGTCGCTTCCGGGACCGAAGGGCGCGACAGCAACGCATCGCCGCCGAACCTCACTTGGCCAGAGCCCATGGTCATCCTCTTGGCGAGCGAGCATTCCAGCCCTATGAAGACGACCAACCGCTTCTGTATTCAGCAAGAGCTATGCCCGCGTTCTAGGGTATATAAGACAAACCCTGGCAGAGCAGAATGCAGCATCACTCGAAGTATGTCCTTCCAGCATAGCGAGTGAAGGATGTTACAGCTCTTGCAGAAGCTCTTCATCGCGTCTGTGATCGCCCTCGGGGGTATGTCCCCCAGTGTTATCTCCGCTAAGCCGAGCTTGTGAAAGGGCATGGCCGTGCGGGACACGTATGACCCGACGCCGACGTACCCCACTGCCAGCACCGTATGGACCAGCGGCGACATTGATGGCGTCTCTTGGTGAGTGTCCTAGAATGACTCATAAGATTTGGTAAATGCTAATCCGTACCACATATCTTCCAGGGACGCGTCCCTCGTCCCATATTCGGCTTCTAACATCTCACGTATTGACCTCTACCGCCTCGTGGGACCAGGAGATGACCAGTTCGTCACTAACCTCACGAAGAACGTCGACCCACGCAGTGGCTCGATCGCATTCGCTGTGCCTGATATCGAGCCTGGCGACAGCTATTTCATCTCAGGTAAAGAATTTTCTTATTATCTGTTCAGTGTGAAGCATAGGCTGACAATTTCTGGGAGTCGGCGGCATCGGTGGGTCCACGAGCGCGACATTCCAGATCCAACCCCGGGACACAATCCCAGTTATCCTCTCTCCAGATGGCAGCACCGTGTGGACAATCGGTGGCGAAGGTACTATCGTCTGGTAAGCGAACCTCTGCGCGTTCACAGTAGCTAATGCACTAACGGTGCGCATTGCAGGGATGTGAGCCAGCTCCCCGAATGGCCCGGCCCGATTAAATACTTCTTGCTCTTTGAAGATCCTTACTATGATGTCGGCGTCCTCGCCAGCAACATCGACCCGACTCTCGGCAACATCACGGTCCAAGTCCCAACGAATATAGTCCCTGGCACCTACTTTATTCTTCGTACGTTGTCCATTGATACGATGTTGATGACTTAACGCTAAATCTAACACGATTTGCAGCCGAGGACGGCTACCAGACTAACGTGAGATTTCAGATGTGGCGCAATAGGGATAACGAGATTACACTTGCTGGAGTGCTGGTACTGCTAGTAGTACTGACAACTCTTGTACTGACAGTCCCAGTTTACTTCTGGACTTGTTGTGACAAATGACCGACGTCCTTCCGAGGACGAAATTGCCGTTAATCGAGAATATTCAAATCTCTCTATGCCTAAATAAGAGTGTTAGAATGCTTTATAGCTGTGTGCCGCCTCCGAGTGTAAATAGCGCGTCAATGGCGTGGGTCAGATGCTTACGTAAGACGCCAGGCTGTTCCCGGCATCCCGCGTTTGTGCTGA